AAACATTAAACCAAATAGACAGACAGCCCAGCCTAAGATAATGTTACAACAAAAATCAAACAAAACAAAAGCCCTAGACAAAGATTAATAGGCCTGGGACCAGAGCCAAGTTTTCAGAGCTTTCTGGAGAAGGTGCATTTTTATATCTCTGGGTGGATAGGGGCTGGTGTACAGAAGGTGCACTTGCTTGGTTCCACCAGATGACTATATTTAATGATGAGGACTTGGAGTACACCCATTCTGACGGAGTGTACTACTACGGCAGGTAGACAGAAATGACTGGAAGAAGGTTGTCCCTCAGATATTCAGGCCCTCTGCCAGACAGGGCTTTATAGGTAACAACCAGCACTTTGAATTGCACTCAGAAGCTGACTGGCAGCTAGCGCAGCTTTTGCCCAGCAGTGGTGATACATGCTTAGCTTCCTGCTTAGAACCAGCTTAGTTTCTGGGTGGTCTTCAAGGACAGCCCATGTACTTACACATGCAATAATGTGATAACCATATGATCCCCAGGGCATGAGTGACTATCAGAAGGCTCTCCCAGCATTATAAGTTGTTGTTCATTCACTAAGTCATGTCTACTCTTCACGACCTCAATATTAAATAAACCCAAATTGATTCTGATTTTGTTTGCTTGACTTCCATTGGAGCTATTTCAGCCTTTTTTCCACAGCCAGTACAGGCCAAATAAGCACATTCCATTGGAAGAAAAGAGAGACATCTTGTTATATAACAAACCTTTTGTAAAAGAAACATTTTGCATGAGTCCCTTCATAAGAGTTCAACATACAGTCAGTCACATGGTAATCAGAAAAATCAGTCACATGGTGAGCTGCTAAATTGCAGGTTCAATTATGCTCATAAATCAAGGTCTAACTATACTAACTGTCTAACTGTATCTCATTTTTCATTTGATTTCAGTTTCTCTTATACTGTTGCTCTTTCGTGGTATATAACGATCCTATGGATATCTACTCAAAAGTAAGACCATTTATATTCGGTGTGTGACTTACTCCACAGAAACAAGTTGCGCTAAAGAAATCTCGGTTAGAAAATAAGGAGAGCTCTCCGATGGGGAAAATTGGTCTGAGTTCCATTAGAATCAGAGAAAGTGTTGTGAAAGATAAATGGGTTTCGTAAGGGAATGTAATGGATCAAAGAAATAAAAGGAAATGGGGCAATTTATATTGCAGCTTTGTGTGTGGGTGGATCTGAGAGTGAGCTTATTTTAGTTCACATTTCTTCATTAATACGATTTTGAAATATTCTGTCACATCTTTAAACTTAATATAGTAATACACTCTAAAATAGAGTATTATCAAACTGGGGCAAGTACTGTTTTGACAGCTGTGCTAGGAACCCAGTCCCTGTTCTTTGCCATCCACAGTTCTACTGCGGTTTGGTGAGTTAATCACCATTAAGCAAACCGTGGCCAAGCCATCTTCGTCAGCGTTAATTGCTTAGCCGCGTTCCCGCGAGGAGGCCAGGGCGGCCCCCGCCGGTCAGAGCGCCTGCGGACGTCCAGCTCTCTCCATAGGGCTTTCGCCGCCGACCGTCCTGCGCCCTCCCTTTCCCTTCTTCACCTCCGCCCTCGGAGGAGAGCGAAAGCGCAACTCCGCCTCTCTCCTCCGAAGAACTCCAGGAGCGCCAGGAGGACGGGGAAGGCTGCGCCATCACGCCCGGCGGGACAACATGAAGCCCGACGGAAAGGTGGTGCTGTTGGGCGACATGAACGTGGGCAAGACGTCCCTGCTCCACCGCTACATGGAGCGGCGCTTCCAGGACACCGTCAGCACCGTCGGGGGCGCCTTCTACCTCAAGCAGTGGGGCCCCCACAACATCTCGGTTTGGGACACGGCAGGTGAAGGGGGACGTCGACGAGTTTGGCTGTTTCCCGGCGGCGGAGGGAGGGGTGGGGGCGGCTCTCCCTCTTGCGCCTCCGAGGCCGAGCACGGCGGGACAAGAGGCGCCACGCCGCGCTCGGCTAACTTTGCCAACTTCGGGAAAGCAGCCCAACACGCCCACCGCTGCTTACTAGCCGCGCATACTCGCTCCGCCGTGGGAAGTTAGCGCTTGCGGTCGGAGGAGCTGAGCGGCCCCCTGGACCCGGTTGTCTGGTTTTCCGGCACCGCGGCCGCTCGGTTCCCTGGAAGGGTTTTCACTCCAGGGCCTGGCTCTTGTTTTCGTTTAGGCCCTACATTTCAGCTTTTTGGGAACATCCCAAGAGTTTTTTGGGCTTCTAGCCTAACTTAAGCAGCTTTTCCAAAAGAAGCTTTGACGCTTCTGCGTCAGTAACAGTTCTCTATGCAGGATTTTAAAATTTTATTATGGAATGGCTGCAGCAACCACTTTTGGGGATTATATATTAGGGTGGGTGGTGGACAAAGTTTCCTTATCTTCCGGGCCAGTATAAAGGTTTGCATTACTGAAGTTTGTCCAATTCAAAGATGAATTCATGGTCTGCTTGTGGGAGTTTTCAGTTGTTGCAAAAGTACAACAAAACTGTTGGGAAAATTCAGGAATTCATATATTGTCAAGCCAATATTCTTTACTTAACAGAAAACAGAGTTGGAAGTGACCTTGTGGGGCTTCTAGTCCAACCCTTTGCCACCACTAGGAGACACTACCATTCTGGACAAATGGCTGTCCATTGTCTTCTTAAAAACCTCCAGTGATGGAGCACCCACAGCTTCTGAAGGCAAGGCCTCATCAATTGTTCTCACTGCCAAGAAATTTCTCCTTAATTCCAAGTTGCTTTTCTCCTTGATTAGTTTCCATCTGTTGCTTGTCTTGTCTTCTGATGCTTTGGAAAATAGGTTGATCCTCTCTTCTTTGTGGCAGCCCCTGAGATATTGGAACGCTTTGTGGCCCCTGAGATATTGGAACGCTACTATCATGTCACCCCTAGTACTTCTTTTCATAGACA